CAACCTGAATGTTTATCAACTGATGATGAATGGACAAACAAAATGTGCTATATACACACAATGAAATATTATTCAGCAGTAAAAATAAGTGATGTACTGATAATTCTACAACATGGATGAACCTTAAAAACTTTAGGCTAATAAAAATAAACCAGTCACAAAAGAGCACAATTTTATTATTCTATTTATATGAAATGCCTACAATAGGCAAATCTATAGAGACAAAATACATTAGTGTGTATTGAAGGCAAGATGGTTTAGTGGGAAATTGAAAATGATTGCTGATAAGTATGGGGTTTGATTATAGGGTGATGGAAATATTCTAAAATTGTCTCAATGGTTGCACAATGCTGTGAATATACTACAAATCAGTGAGTGAATTGCACATTAAAATGGGTGAATTGTATGGTATATGGATTGCATTCTAACAAAGCTGCTTTTTAAGAAAGGAATAGACATTTTGGCTAAAAGCAACTGTGTGTCAAAATGCTGACCGATGCTGTATAAACTCAGAGAAAAGAAAAGAATAGGATGGATCTAAGTAAATGAATGCTTAAGTGACAGCAGCACAAAAAATGCTTGCTATGTTGAATATTTAAAAGTTTTCTCCTTGAGTTTACATGTATAAACAGTGGCCCAATACATATTTAATTTTTTAAATAAAGCATACTGGGGAAAGTGCTGTATAATACTTGGCAAACATTATATTCCTGATTATAGTTAATCAGCTTTATGACAGTGGGAATTAAATGTTACAGAGCTGGAATACATTAGCAACAACCACTCAGAGACCAGTCTTCTATTAAACACCTCACTTTCTCTTCTCTGAAAGGCATTTTTACTATCAACACAATTCCTTTCCCATGATTAAAGATTGTTTTTATTTTTCTAATTTTATTCAAAGGTTTTATAAGACTGCAAATTTCCCTCTAATTTTATGGTTTTGTGAAAAAAATAAATCTCATTTATTCTGGTTTTTAATCTTAAGAATAACTTAACTCTACCTTTTATCCTAAGAGACTGTTCTTGAGCATAGTGTTTCAGGTCCTAATAACCCATGCCATATAAAGAATATTCCAATGAATTAACGGTAAAGAACAAACAAACCACTTAACAGTCCTTTTCACCAGCAGGATTTTCCCCCAGGAATGGCTACTAAATCATATAAAATTTTCAAAATTACTCTGACTCTCTAGGGAAGAGCCTTTGTGGGAGAGATACTAAAGGATTGTGCTTAAAATTATTCCAGACAGTTCCATGGACTGGGTTAGGTTTAGGGCTATTTAGTTTTAAATGTCGAAATCCTAGCTTGAGCTGGAATCAGAGTGCCATAACTACAACAAATTGCTAAATGCATGCTCTCATTTAAGAGATGACAAATGAATGGTTCAGTCAGTAAGTAATTTGCACCAGAGTCCTCCAATGACTATAACCCAGGAGTTCTAACTCAGAGATCACTAGCAATTCATTGTACAACACAAAGTATAGCTAACACTCTCCCTTATAGTTCATAAAATAAATTGCACACTTCTTATATTTTTTCATAATAATAGGAGCACTCACTGCAGATAGGGAAACTAAGAGATGAGGGAATGTAAGCTCAGGAATGTTGACAGTACAAGTATCCTTAGAAGTTAGTCCTTAGACCTAAGTCTTCAAATTTCTAGCAATATATCTTTCATTGGGGCTGTTTGATAAAAGAAAGGCTCACACAAATTGGTTGTAAGGGGATTCATTTATTTGAATTTGGGCTTGAAGTTAATTTAATCTAAGTAATTTTTTCTTTTAATGTTTTTATCAATTATTATGGGGTTTTCTGTTGTTGTTGTCATTGTTGTTGTATCTAAGATGAAGAAATAGCAATGATTTCACTTTTCTTCTCCATGATGTGTTAACTATTTGTTTAAGAACAAGAGAAATAAATTCTAACTTCTCCATGCAAATTTAACCTCAATTGAATTTGGACCATGTTTTGGATTTCTGTATCACTGCTTCTTTCAAGAAAGGTCACAGGACAATATTTAATAAACACTTATTTACTCTTCTTATATGCTGGACTCCCTGCTTCTTCCTGGATTTTTGTTGTTGTTGTTGTTGTTAATCCTTCCCCGTGGATATTTTCCATTGATTTTTAGAGAGGCTGGAAGGGTGGGGTTAGCCATGAGACACATCAATGTGAGAGAGACACATCGATTGGTTGCCTCCCTCATGTTCCCCTGACCAGGCCAGGGACCCAGCCTGCAACCAAGGTATGTGAGCTTGACAGGAATTGAACCTGGGACCCTTCAGTCTGCAGGCTATCCACTGAGCCAAACCAGCTAGGGCTCCTCATGGATTTTTGATAATGGGGTGACTGAGTTGCAGTTTTCACCCAGGAAACTTTTATATCCACTGAGCCAAACCAGCTAGGGCTCCTCCTGGATTTTTTATAATAGGGTGACTGAGTTGCAGTTTTCACCCAGGAAACTTTTATTCTGCTTAAAGAAACAGAAAAACTGAATAAGAAAGAATACACATTGCATTTTATGTTGATATTGATGCTTGATGGTCTTCAACCATTTTTGAATCTGCAATGGGCACAGTAATCAACTGCCTCTGTCAAGAGAAGAGATGCACCTCACAAAAAACAACAACACTACATTTTGTTTGGCTTCTGCTAGCTGTAGACTGAAGACAAGCTTGATCATTGCCAAGTTGGTGCCTCAGAGGAAAAGAATGCTTTGGAGTAGTGTACCAAGTGAGAATGACTATAAACTGATTTAACTGGAGTAATGGCTAATTTCCTCCCAGCTGGAGAAATCTCTGATTAACAATTGACTAGTAATTGTTGTTTTCTGTATTTACAAACCAAAGGTTAAGCATTAGGACAATACATTGTAATGAATAAATTAAGATAGCTGCTTGTCTTGTTCAATATTTAAGGGAAAGTCCAGTCTATGTTCAAAGGAAGTAGAGGTTACTTTATGTCACAGACACTGAGTCCTAAAAGACCTAGGAATGGAGTAAGAAATAGCATGTGTGTTATGAAATAAAACACAAATATAAAACAATGTTTTCTTCTAAAAAAGGGTCTTAGCCCTTAATTTTAACTTTAAATAACTTTTTACTTCCACAAAGTTTTCTTGTTTATTCACTAGAAGTTTATGGTGGCCCTACTATGTAAGAGATATTGATCTGGAAACCAGAAATACGGCACAGCCCTTGTCCTCCCGGAGTAGTGGGAGGAGCGTGGCTGTCGAGTCCATGTGGCTTAGGTGTTGTGAGATAAAGCTTCGGTCACTTTCCTCTAAGTGACTCACTGTTAAAACTGTGGGTAGAAAAGTGTAATTCAAGCTCTGGAGAGTTGTTTCATTAAAGCCACATTTACTAGTAACTGTAAATACATAATTTGCCACAGAATTCACTTACACTATCACATCAATTCACTTACATATCAAGAATAGAATGTTTGGCATATTTTCCCTACTGTGGTCTATAAAGGAATAAGCATTTCATATATAACAATACTTATCAAACATGTATGTGGTGAAATTGAAAAATATTCAGTGCTTATTTCTTGCCACTCTGTGATATAAGACAATAGTACAAAAGAAAATATGCTTTGGCTTTTGGAATGATCAACATCATGGTGAATAATCACAAGCTATCTCTTATTAGTTGAGGAACCATGGGAAGACCATTTAATCCTAGCTTAAAGTAAGATTAATTTACAGAGTAAAATGCTCCGTCTCTCTGACTCTACCTTGTGCAAGGCTCCTTTGTTCCCAGGGCCTTCAGACTAGCTTCTGCTTAGTCTTGCATATATACAATGCTAGTCAATACAGGAATTCTGCTTGCAGTTTGAGGAGACAAGGTAAGTATATATATATTGTTTATCAAAGGTTTGCAAGAACCTCATGACTGACTCACATCAACTAGCACAATCTTTGTCAGATCCCTGCTGGTGCCCAGATGTCTGCAGGAGTCAATTTCCTATTGCTCCTGCCATTTCCCCTTCCTTTGACATAAAACAAGTCTGAACTCTGTACTTTCAGAAGATGGGTTTGGCGACTTCTTCTTTGGTTACTTCTCCACCAATAAACCTTTCCTTACTCCAAACTCTGCTGCTTTGAGTTTGGTTTTTGGAAGCACCAAGCACATGGACTTTGAACCAGTAATAGTAACACTTTAGAAGAGAGAGTAATAATATGGATTAACTTATACTATGGCAATAAATCTAACATAAATTGGTTTTATGGTATATAACATACTTTGGTATATATTAAGTAGAATCATTAAAATACATAAAGACAATAAAATAGCATCAAAAAGTCCAGACCATAACCCAGGTCTGACAACTTGATGGGCTCTGGCATTTTTTCTTCTTTAAAGGAGACATGTCATAGAACACTAAAAAGTATCTACATCAATAGTTATTTTCCTGGTATACACAAAAGAATAAAAAAAAACCAATATGATAGGCATAAATATAACAACAAAGAGTCTTAAATGATGTCTTGCCTAGATGGTCATTCATCATGTGAGTGATTTACTATGATGGTTTACTGTTACATAACCTTTTAAGTTTGGAATCTTATCATTTAAGCAATAACTGATTTTAAATATTGTCCAGTGATATAAGAGAAAGGAACCATTCCAGACAAAGCAAGGGTATAATTCATCCAACCACAAGTAACTATGATGTGCATTCCACAGTTAAGCCAATTAACATTGATCCAAACACATTTAATCAGAGTTCAGCAATGCCAACAATCCAATTAAGCTTAAGATTCTATAAGAACTATATTTTATTAATCAAATGACATTTAAAGTTGTTTTATTTTGTTCTTTCCTTTGTAAGGAAGAACAGATTGAAAACTTGGAGGATTTCCAATAATTCAAAATATTCAATGTCAAATGAATTGTTATCCACTAATTGGGGGAGGGGGGAAGTCTTAGGGCTCCTGGCAGAATCTGGGACAGATTGAATTGTGTGACTTGGGACAGAGGAAATTTTTTCCTTGCTCACCCAACCAGAGCAGAGCTTTCCCTTCACACAGCCAAATCTTGGTCTGTTCAGACCTAATAAACTCTGCTGACCTCATCCTGATGACTCCCTTAGGAGGTATGCAAGCACTCAACAGGTAGCAGCTAGACTTGGTATACCCTGGGACATTTGCTGAATGGTTTCAGACCCAGCACTGGTACTGAGTTTGAACCTTTATCAATCTAGTGAATAACACTGGTCCCTACCTGGTAACTTACTGAGAACCTATCTCATGAAACCTGAGTACTGCCAGAACCTCTTTCAGTGACTGAGCCTAACAGGCAGCTGGAAAGAAAAGGCATGTAAAGGCAGATCTCATGGTTCCTTGGGAATTTTGATAATCTGCCTCCAGGCTGGTGCTAGTAAAAGCCATCCTTGATATGCAGTTTGATCCTTTCTGAACATACACCCAGGCCCACGAGAGGCAGACATAAACTGTGACTCACTTTGTAGCTCTAAACAGGTTGCTCAGGGCCAGTCACAGGCAGAATCTGACATTGCCTACACCAGAGTCCCTCCCCAAAGACCCCAAAACCAGCACACCCAGTGGCCAGTTTCAGGCAGCATCAGAGTAGGATACAATTAGCTTCACAAATGGCATACCCAAAGGGAGACCTCAGCAGCCACCAGCCCTGCTGAGGCAAATTCCACTCTGTGTGGTCTGCACCTGCAAGCAGCTCATACACTGGGGTCAGGGTTGATTCTCACAGTCAACTAGCCTGAGGGTCGACCCCCCACACAAACAGATCAATAGTAATCAAGACTCAGTTACAATAGGAGGTCCCACATAACCCACATAAGGGTCATTCCAGAAGCACCCAGCACAGGTGATCAAGGCATCTGTGCCAAGGGGTCCCACAGGACACCTACTACATAAGGCCACCCTACCAAGACTGGGAGTCATTGCAGATCTACCTAATATATTGAAAGAAACACAAAAAGGCAGCCAAAATGGAGAGACAAAAATAACATTCCTCAAATGAAAGAACAGGAGAAATCTCAAAAAAAAATTTTTTTTTAAAGAGCTAAATTAAATGGAGACAAGCAATTTACCAGATATAGAATTCAAAAGAATGGTTATAAGGATACTCAGGGAACTGAGTATCTCTCTCTCTACCAAGGAGAGAGCCTGGAAGGTCTGCATTCCCTCCCAGACCCATCCTATGCATCTCTTCATTTGCTGGTGCTCCTGATTTGTACCCTTTATAATTAACTGTAATTGTAAGTACAGTTATTTCCTGAGGTTCTCTGAGTCATTCTAGTGAATTATCCAAATCCAGAGTGTCATAGGAACCCCTGGATTTATAGCTAATTAGTCAGAAATACAGGTGGCCTGAGGATCCTGATGTATGGCAGACATTTGAAGTCAGGGTTGCTACTTGGGGACCACACACTTTAACTTTTGGAGTCTGTACTAACTCCACAAGGGTAGCAAGAGAATTGAATTCCAGTCAGGGTTGAAATGGAATACATGCATATGAGGAGGATTTGGCCAAAGTCTCATCTTTTCTACAGCTCTTTTATTTTAAAAATTCCCCTTTTAAATTACCAGCTATCTGTCCAGCGGTTCCTATCATCTTCTCTATAATCCAGTTTTCTATAAGGATTGCTAGTAGTGGTGGTAGTGGTGCAGGTGGTTGCTGAATCCTTCATGAAAGAAACTAATAAACACAGTTCTTATTAACATAATAACAATCTTTCAATAGTAACTTCCTCTTCTTTTTCTGTCTACCTTTGGTAAATTTCCAATGCCTTCAAATATTTATTTTTAATATTTTGCCCAATTTCTTTATACGGGTTTGGTTTTTGTTTGCAAACAAACAAAAAACAACTTGTTTTTTTGGTGTGTGTGTTTTTTTGGGGCGTGGGGAAGAATTGTCCAAATGCTCCAGACCACTTACACTATAAGAAAGGGTAGAAAATTTTAAGAATTCTTGTTGCTTTCATCTCATTCTTTCCTTCCTAATTTCAAGCTATATCTATGTTCCTCTGTATTTAATTTTCAAAACCCTAGGAAATATTTACGGTTTTACAAAAGTGAATCCAAGAAACCAAGAAATGTTGGACAGGGTTTGCAATAAAGGAGGACTCTCTCTTCAAGGAGATCACCCATTAAGTTTCCCTCACTCCATCATCTCATAATATATCTCCTAAGTAATTGAACAGTTGTATCTCTACTCTTAATGGAATTACTTTGTAGCTAAACAAATGGTTCTCTCCAGACCTTTCTGCACAGAAATGGATATTGCATGTGGCAAATGTACACCTAACTTACTAATAAGTGTTAACTTTTCCCCTCCTTGCTAAAACCACTCTTGTGGTAATTCTTTCAAACAAGTTTATCTATACGGTGAAGGTCAGCAGATAATAATTTTTCACAGTTAAAGTATATTGAATATATATATATATATAATAGAAAATATATATTATGCATAATTTTCATTGCCTTAGGTAAGTTTAAGAACAATATTCTGTTAATTATTCATACTTATTATTTATCCTATTGTTTCTGATGGAAAAACAAATGTAATCAACTAATTTTACACTGAATGGTAAGAACTTGACCCCAATAAATGTTAACAATAATAATACTTTCATTTTATTATTAATTGGTATCTATGTTTTAGTCTTGGTACAATGCATCTACTCTATTTTCTCACCACATTCCCCCACCATAGAAATGTAATTGACACAAAGCAATGGACTCTATGCACAGAAGACTACCAAATGTCCCCTATTAGATAGTCCTCTATTTTTTTATTATTCTTGTATTGTAGTTAGACATTTATAAGCATGTATCCTTTTACTGTAATATAAAGTCAGCTTGAACGGAGATCATGTTATATCATCTGTATCTTTATGGTCCCTAAGACAGAGCTTCTAGCATTGAAAGGAAGAAACAAAAAGCAATGTCAGGAAGAATAATGGCCTTCCAGTGAAAACCTGGAGTTTTGTTTCAGCTATTTATTGCTGCATAACAAACTTCCTCAAAATTCAATGACTAAAAGCAGTAACTAATTAGTTATTTATTTACATACGATTTTCAACTTGTGCAGAACCTAGCAGGGAATGCTCATCTTTGCTTGGAGTTGGAGAATTGAGATGGCTCCTTCATTTACCTGGCACCTCAACTTGGATTGCTGGCTGGGTTACTCCATGCCTCAGTATTCTCTCCTTCTCCAAAGCTGCTTTATCTTCCTGGGAACTCTCTCCAGCATGTGAATGTTCTTCTTGACTGGGCTATTTACCCAATATTGGAAACTACTATAAAATCCACAACCAGAAATCTCACAAAGTCACTTTTACTATAGTCTATGGGTCAAAGAAAGTCACAGGCCCAGCATGGAGTTAAAGGGATGAGTAAAAGACTCATCCTTGTGTTGGGAAGAGCAACATGTGCATGCAAGTACGGGAGGAATTATTGGCAGCCATCATTGCAGATGATCTTCTCCAAGTTCTAGCAGCCTATTATTGGGGTATCATAGAAAACTTTTCTCAGAATGAACTGAGGAAGTATAAAATCTACAAGGTTTTTTCTTCCCTATTTCATTACTTTTTAAAAAATTAATATATTTTTATTGATTTCAGAGAGGGTGGGAGGGAGAGGGAGAGGGAGAAGGAGAGGAAGAGGGAGAGAGAAATATATCAATGATGAGAGAGAATCATTGATTGGCTGCCTCCTGCACGCCCCCACTGGGGATCAAGCCCGCAACCTGGGAATATGCATAATAAAAGCATAAAATTAACCAAAATGGAACCCAAGACCCTTCAGTCTGCGGGGCAACGCTCTATTCATTGAGCCAAACCGGCTAGGACTCATTACTTTTTTAAAGAGCACATTAAAATATTTGCTTCAATACCTCAGGTTGACCAATGTCAACAAAAACGTTTGGGGCCAAAAATACTTCTCAAGGGATTATTAAGACTTATTCTAGCCAGAAAGGCCCGGGGCCTGGGCAGGTAGTGAGAACCAGCAGCAGCAGGGCTGAATGAAGACAAACGTGTCTGCTGTTCTGCGGCCAAAGGGGCTCTTCTACACAGTGAGTTTAGAGAAGAGAGTTGTTTTGAAGATTTATATTAGGTATAGATAAAGAGGGTAGGAAACCGGGAAGCAGGGAAAGTTCTGGGATAGGTACAGAGTCCATTGGGAAGAAGTATTTGCTGCTTCTGGATTGGTTGTAGGCAACAATCCAGAAGACTCATGGGTAAGAACTATGCAGTGGCATCTGGTGGTAGGTTATTCTCTCTAGATCAGGAGTGAGGAACCTTTTTTTCCTGCCAAAGGCCACTTGGATATTTATAACAACATTCACGAGCAATACAAGATTACCAACTTAAAAACTAGCCTGTTATATTTGGTCAAACATTTAACTCACCCCTAATGCCTGGCAGGGTCAGACTAAATGATTTCACGGGCCAGACCTTCCCCACCCTTGCTCTAGATAACCATGGAATGGGCACCTGGAAGTTGATCCAAATTTTCCACATACATTCAGGAATGTGAGCAGTCTTTTGTTGGTTGAGACCCTAGCCTGGTAACTGATTAACTCTCCTTATCTCTTCCTCTACTCTCCTGCCTGAGGACTTAAGACATCTCAGAATTTTTCTCTTGTCACCAAAAACTGTTATCTCAATGTATTTTGAAAGTGTTTAAGTGTATTCTGTCTGAAGGCATCTGTAAACATCTATCAAAAGAACTATAAACTGTTTTAGATAAATTCTGAGTTAGCATCTATATATATAAAAGCCTAATATGCTAAGTGCTGCAGGGTCAGACCAAATGATTTCACGGGGCCAGACCTTCCCCACCCTTGCTCTAGATAACCATAGAATGGGCACCTGGAAGTTGATCCAAATTTCCCACATACATTCAGGAATGTGAGCAGTCTTTTGTTGGTTGAGGCCCCAGCCTGGTAACTCATTAACTCTCCTTATCTCTTCCTCCACTCTCCTGCCTGAGGACTTAAGACATCTCAAAATTTTTCTCTTGTCACCAAAAGCTGTTACCTCAATGTGTTTTGAAAGTGTTTAAGTGTATTATGTCCAAAGACATCTGTAAACATCTATCAAAGGAACTATAAACTGTTTTAGATAAATTCTGAATTAGCATCTATATATATAAAAGCCTAATATGCTAAGTGTCCGACTATTCGACTGTTCGATTGTTTGACTAGTTGCTATGATGCACACTGGTCACTAGGAGGCAGATGCTCTGACTGGTAGGTTAGCTTGCTGCTGAGGACCAGCCGATCGGGACTGGGTGAGATGGGCCGGACATGCCCTGGAGCCTTCCTGCGGTCCCTCCTCGGCCTCTAATAATTTCTTCTAATTAATTTCCTTTCAATATGCACAAATATGTGCACTGGGCCTCTAGTATCTATATAAAACTGGTCACAAACCTGAGTGACTAATGATTATAACAGTAAACTAATTGATAGGGGATTTGTGAATAGTCCTTCTAAGCTTAGAATCTGAGCCTAATTTTCTGGAGCACAGAGCTAGCTGAAGAATGAAAAGGCCACTTTAAAATATATAACCTTACTTTCTTTTAGAACATGTTATAATTAGGTTTGTTAAAATGAGTTTCTGCTTGTATTTAAATGATAAAATTTCTAATAGAAAGCTTTAGATAGAATAGAAGCTTTCTTTTTTTCTTCCTCCTTTCCTTTTATTAAAAGTTAATTGTAACTGAATGAGATTTATTATAGATTATTAAAAGGAAATACATACACATCTAGGCTTCATAAAAATGTTTAAATATGTGTGATAGTTACATTTTTCTGTCATCAATCAGCACTTCAGTTAGAATGCAATTTGATTAAAATAAGATTGACTTTCATGAGCATAAACTCCATGGGGTTGGGAAACATACCTAGTACAAAGGATTGTTACAAGTGAGATGTTATATTTATTACTGGTCATCTGTGTGGTGATAATGGATGTTCCCTGTGGTTTTATTGTTTTTAAGAGAATATTTTAAAATACCTAGTAAACTATTTTAAAGTATTTTAATTTTAGGAGCTCTTTTTATAAAATTTCTGGTGGTAATTTTTAAAATATTAAAAATATTCAGAGCCTGTAATTTTATATAGTTAAAGCCACTTCGCAATTATAAATGGTGAGGTGAATGGTTATTAATATGTCCATTCCTAATACAAAAGAATTCTGCAGATAATTTTGTTATATTCACTAATTTTAGAATTCTGATGTCATACATTTATTAGGAAGCTAATATTCAAAAGCCTAATATAATTGTTCAATAGCCTAATATAATTACTACCCACTTTTGGTAAGCAGGCTACTGAGCAAAGAACAACAAAAAGATACAACATGCTGACAGAAGTATAAGCTATTCCTGCTTGGCTGCAATTTCCTAGAGCTTCTATTTCAACTTCTTTCCTCTCTGGGAGTTTCCACTAATGTGACAATCAATCCATCTGCACTTCTGGTTATTAAAGGAGAGCCAGATTGCACCTTTAATCAATCATCTACTGTTCAAGACGTGGCGGGGATGTCGAGGGAAACATGGAGAATTACCTCAGATATGATGTCAGTAACAATCTTTGCAGAAGGGAAGCACCCTAAGAATCCATAACCTTTGGTGAGATTTTATTGGTCTCCTTTGAGTTTTCCTCTATCCTGAAATGAATGACCTTGTATCAGATAATCCAGGCAGGCCAGGAAGCAATAGCTCATTTCCTCAGAGCTCTTAAGGTGAGCAGCACATTCCTTAAAGGTAATACATTTTATTCATGCTGCTTTCCACACTTTAACCTTGGTTAGCTTCTAGGTGACCCCTTAACTTCTAATTTTTCAAACAAATTGAGGGGTGTGTGTGTGTGTGTGTGTGTGTGTGTGTGTGTGTGATTTAAAGCAACATCTTTCTAGTCAGGAGACCTAGATTTTCTTTTGACTCTTCCAACGGTTTAGGACCCTAATCAAGGACTGACACAATCTGTTAATTACCTGCCCTTGGAAACCTAAATGCTTTTGCATGGCTACTACTCTTAACCATTCCTAGAGAGTTTTATCCACTCCAACCCCCAACACACAATCCTCACTGTCATCATCCTAGTTTTCTTCATGTCGCACAAACAACCCATCTCTATTCCCATTTCTATGTCTTTGCTTTTGCTACTCCCCCAGCTTTGCAAGTGCCTGAACCCTCTTATTCAGTACTTATGCAAAACATACCCTCTCTCCAAAGTCCAACTAAGTCTTTCTGACACCAAAGCCTTCTTTCCCCGTAACCCCTCATGATAATTTTTTTTCTAAGCTAAAGCAACTGATTCTTAGGGTGCTTCCCTTCTGCAAAGAGTATTACTGACATCAATTTATCAAATGATCATACAATGACTTATCTCAGATTTTTGTGATGTTATGCCTGTCAGCTTGCCTTGCAAAGTTAAAAATTCTTTGAAATTGAGGAGGAAATCCCTGCAACACATATCAAGGAGTTGGTGGTGCTTGAGTGTCTGATGCTGGCCTGCGTGTTTGTCAGTCACTCAGCAATTAGCACAGGACCAATTTTTCTTCTCACCATTTAAGATTCCACAACTTACACTGAAATTTTTTTAAAAAGTTACTTCTCCTCCTATATGGCAAGCAGGAAGGGTTTTTAAGATATATTTTAGACATATTCCCTGTAAGTTTATTTGGCATGTTTATATAGTATTTATTGTTTTTATTTGCTGCTGCTCCGTTTCCCTAATATTCCCTAGACTGTCATGTTTTGGTTAATTTAAATTTCTCTACCATTGCTGGTATGCAAGCATTTCAGTGACAGGAACATCATAACTTGTCCCTGGCTATTTTTACTCAAAAAGGAAAAAAAAAGAAATCCCTGCAACACATATCAAGGAGTTGGTGGTGCTTGAGTGTCTGATGCTGGCCTGCGTGTTTGTCAGTCACTCAGCAATTAGCACAGGACCAATTTTTCTTCTCACCATTTAAGATTCCACAACTTACACTGAAATTTTTTTAAAAAGTTACTTCTCCTCCTATATGGCAAGCAGGAAGGGTTTTTAAGATATATTTTAGACTTCCCTGTAAGTTTTTTATTTGGCATGTTTATATAGTATTTATTGTTTTTTGCTGCTGCTCCGTTTCCCTAATATTCCCTACTAGACTGTCATGTTTTGGTTAATTTAAATTTCTCTACCATTGCTGGTATGCAAGCATTTCAGTGACAGGAACATCATAACTTGTCCCTGGCTATTTTTACTCAAAAAGGAAAAAAAAATATCTGCATTGCTTATGAATAACAACTTGAGATATGAAGAGTTTC